ACTTTCCTCCAGGCCCTCTGGATCTAGCTTCCCTCTTGAAAGCATGTAAGCCAGTCACTTCTTGCCTTTGTAGCTCCCCCACTATTTTGGGTAGCCAATGTTCAAGTTGCCTATCCCTGTCTACTCTGTGTGTGGAGGGGGTGGGAATGATTCTTGCTGTAAAGATTTATTCCCTCTTTTGAGCTACTGCATCCATAGGTGTAAGTCAAGTTCATCAAATGGTATCAGATTACTCTTTTTTTCCTCTTTTTTCTTCTTTTAGTTGAGCTCTTATCATCTAGTCATTGAAGCCAGGTCAAGTGGGTATTATCTGCAAGTATGGGTGTTCTTGTGCATATGCCCTCTCTTCTTATCAGCTGTACACTTCACTCTCCACTCTAGTCCTCTGTGGTTATGTCACTGACTCTGGGCTCAAGAGTCCCCAAGTCTTGCCACACTGCTGGCCAACCAGGTCTCCACCTGGGTTCAGAGGAGTTGAATGTTGTAGGGCTTAGCTTGCAGCCTTACTGCTGTTTTTCCCTCACTTCCCCTTATCGGTGATGAACGTGGTCACCAATAAGAGTGTGTATTCCCATAGAGTCATAGTCTTGGAAGGGGGTTTGCCGACCACTTGCCTTGATGTCTCGGTATACAAACTTTTTGAAACCCAAGTCTGTCATGGATTATTTCATAGACAGAGATATGGCTGATTTGCAAATGATTTGCCACATAACCCACTGTTACTCGTCTATTTGACAGAATCATTTCACATGCAATGTTGTTATCAGCCATGATTATGGATGGGCATTTTACTATAACTGGAATAGCAGGTAATTTTGGACTCGCCGTCTATATAGGTACACACACACTCTGTCTCACACATATACATTCCCATACAGGGACGCTGTGAGTTGGAATCAACTCCATGGCATGTAACTGCCACCACCAGATTGTTGTTGTAAAGTGCTATTGAGTCGGTTCCGACCCACAGTGACCCTGTATAGGGTTTCCAAGGAGCAACTGGTGAGCTTGAACCACCGATGCTGAAGTTCAACTGGCTTTGCAGTCTAGCGCATTAACCCAATAGTGCCACACCAGGACTCCATGTGGGTTAATGCACTAGACTACAAAGCCAGTTGAACTTCAGCATCGGTGGTTCAAGCTCACCAGTTGCTCCTTGGAAACCCTATACAGGGTCGCTGTGGGTCGGAAATGACTCGACGGCACTTCACAACAGCTACAACAATGCAGGAGTCAAGGAGCTCTGTTCTGTCTGGTAGCGTAGTGATTACAAGTTGGGTTGCGAACCTCAAGATCAGCAGTTCGAAACTACCAGCTGTTCCATGAGAGATATAGGAGGCTTTCTGCTCCTGTAAAGATTTATAGCCTCGGAAACCCTATGCTGGATCACCATGAGTCCGAACCGACTCCACGACACACCACCATCATTATCAATGCAGGAATCAGCAGAGTTAGCAAACTGTAGGCATAGCACTTGCTTCTGTAAATAAAGTTTTATTGGTACGAAGCATCACCTATTCATTTATGTCTAGTGTGTGACTGCTTTCATATTACATGGGTGGATTTGAGTAACGGCTCTAGAGACTGTGTGTGGTCTGCAAAGCTTCAAATATTTACTGTCTGTCTAGCCCTTTACAGAAAAGTTTGCTGACCCAGGTCTATAGTAATATTTGTAAATTAATAAATTAATTAAAATTATTGATAAAAATAGTCCATTTTGAATAGTTTAGGTTTTATTAAGGTTGTTTTCTCCTAAATAGTATGAAAAACATTTCCTGTTATACTAGATGATAATTTATAACTAGGTTTCATAATGAAAAATGCTTAGTTTCCAATTTTTTAAAAATTTACGTTTGTAAAAAATTGTACATTAATTCATTAGTGTTAAGAAGATAGCTAATGAGGCATACATAATTAGTAAAGTGTGGCATGCTTGTAATTTCACTGTGCAGTGAGGGTTGGTCACATTTCAGCTGAGCACTCATTCATGGCATTGCCAGCCAGCATTCCTTCCAGTTAGCATTAACTTATCATGAGAAAAGAGATAATTCTGGATTTTAAGTAATTTTCACATTCAAAAATAACAGGCTTTTTGAGACTTAACAGATCAACAAGGCTGTGCTGGTAGTTACTTGCAGCGTTTCTTGCAAAGAAGCCTCATAGGTTTTGGGTTTATTGGCTGTAGTTCAGTGTATTAAAAAATGAGCATTTCATCATGCTACTTCTCAGTCACAGACTTTACCAATAAAACACGGGGCTTCTGCACTCCACATCAGGGCAATAGTTGAAATCTGAATAATCTAATATGTGGTTATCTTTTTTTCTTTTTTTCAACAGACTTGTGGAAGAAAGCAAACTGATCCCACTAATTTTTGAAGTACTTCTGGTAAGAAAAAAATGCATGTTTGCAATTTAAAAGAACCAAAGACATTTTTTTTTATAAGTTTGAACCAAGTGGTATAGCTGGGTTCTAACCTGGACTGTTCCTGGAAGAACTGTGTGTCTTTTAACATCTCGCTAAATCTTCTTGGTGTTTGGTTCCTCACCTGTAAGGAGGTGTCTAGCTCCGACATTGTGGAGTGATGCGGTTTAATAAACCTGTCTTCTCACAAATCATTTGCATTGTAATGCCGTTGCATTACCTAATATGGAAAGACTGGTTAGCAGAGGAAAGGAAGGCTACTTATCGTTACCTTTCAGGGATAAATTTTCTATTCCTCGATATGGATGGAGCTTTCTGACTTTGTAGTCACTGGATACCTAGTCAGAGGTTTTATGCCTATGGTAGGAAATGGTCTTCTTCCAAACTTAGAATAGCTTAGTTTCCATGCACTTTTTTTTGTCTATTCAAAGAATGCGGCCTGTAGAAAAAAATACTCCATCTCTCATTCCTTTGTAGAGATTAAAATAGGATGTAGAGTTGACTTTACTCTGCTCTGAAAAACCTTTGTTCATACACTAAACACAAATTGGAGAGTTAGTCTGGGAATTGAATTGGTGTTTATAGATGAGGATGCCCTTAAATGAAGAAAGGGTCTCTTGTATTTTAACTTGGTAATAGAACCACAGGTTTATAGAGGAGGCAACACTTTCCCAGTAAAATCAGCCTAGCAAAATCAGTCTAATATTAACCTTGTTTATCAACAGAACCATATGTGTGGAAAATTAACTTGATCAGCTTAAAATTTTTATCTACAAATTGTGTGCTGGGAAGGAGCTCTGGTAGCGTAGTGGTTACGAATCGGGCTGCGAACCTTAAGGTCAGCGGTTCGAAACTACCAGCCGCTCCGCGGGAGAAAGATGAGGCTTTCTACTCCCGTAAAGATTTACACCCTCGGAAACCCTGTACAGGGTCGCTATGGGTCGGAACCGACTCGATGGCACTTAACAACAACAACAACAACATAGCTATATAGAGGGAGCATGATGGCTTTGTATGATAAGCAATGGACTGTAAACCACAGGTTGATGGTTGGAGCCCACAAGCTGCTCTGCAGGAGGAAGATGAGACTTTTTGTTCCTGCCTACATGTGCAGACTCAGAAACCCTATACAGGATCGCTGTGAGTCAGAACTGACTCAGTGGCAACAACATGGCTGTATAATGCAACTTTGTAGTAGTATTTTTGCTGCAGCTCATTCTTTCCCTCTCAGGAGAGCTGGATGGGTTTGCTGGGTTTACTGAATGTATGCTATTTGCATGGAGTATGGAATAAGGGAGGCATGGGTAGTATTTCCAAAGCATGTCCAATTCACAGAAATTTGATAGCTGTTCTGGTGATACACTTGGTTAGAGTCTGGATTGAATTGCTTAGTATAATAAAGGGAATTCTAAAGACAGTATGAGGATAAGGAATAGAGCAAAAGGAGAGGACTGAAATGTGAATTTCAAGATGGGAATATTTGAGTTTTGCCAAGTGCTACTTCTTCCTTCCTTAGGAAGCATCTTGCTTGCTAATTTGTTGTGGAACTTGTTTTGGAAGGTGGTAAGTGTAGCTTCTTAACTCTTCTTAGTTGATTAATCTTTCTATACTGAACCCTACCAAGTGCCTAATATATTTGATCTGGGTAAATGTTTGATGAACTAATTGAAACATACCATGATTTAAACCCTTGTGATTTTGGTACGAACTGGGAAGATGGTGATAGCTAGGATTGCAGCTAGTTTGAGACCCGTGGCCAACAGGCATGTCTAGGTTGATGCCCTTACTCCAACCAGAAGAGCTTCAGATTCAGGTTTCCTATGTGAAACCATTTTTTTGTAAAGTTCTGATGCTAAAAAGGTAAAGAAAAATGACAGCTTTTATGGGCAGGACTCTGATGTCCTTGAAGAACTTATTAAATTCCTGTTCTACTTTTGTCTTTCTTGACCAATAATCTCAATTTTTTACTCATATATAAACACTTTTTTTGATCAATGAAATGCCTTTGTAGTGTTATCCTGTGAACTGCTATTCTTTTTATGTTTTGATCACTGAGCTAGATGTAATATAGAATTTCATTGATTCTGTGGTGCACATTGTTTTTTCAGATTTTGACATGTCTGAAACTAGGATGTACCTCCCAAATCAATGACATCTGAAAATTGCTTTCAGCCAGGTGACCTGATTGTCATTGCCTTAACCAATTTACTTCACTTTTTTAAATGCCTGAGAGTAATACTTAATGAAAACTTAACTCTGAACACATCTGAAAGAGTTGTTTCAATAAAACAAAACTCTGAAAAGAACCATGCCATAGTTTAACTGTTTTTGTTTTTTTTTTCCTTCTGCTTCTTTTTTAGTGGTTGATAAAACAAATGGTGGATCTTAAAATTGATGGCTTTCTATAGTCAAGGGAACAGTATCTACAGTATATTCAACTTGGCTGTTACTTTCGAGAGCCTGTGTGGTATCTGGCATATGGCAAATTCTACTAATGATTTGATTAGAACAATATAGAATGAGAATATTATGTGGGGATGACTACTAGTTATGCCTTTTAGCCATCTGTTAAAAATAAGCCGAAAAACAGTATTTGACTTGTGCTGGGTATTCACTGTGACCTCCTGATGACTTGTTTTATTGACTCCTAGCCTGTAACTGTTTTCTGGCTCTGATGGATTGAAAGTTTAATATGGTTACAGGTCTTACCATTTATTTTATGGAGGTTCTCATAGGATGTGCTCCATCTATTCTGGTAGATGTTTTTCATTTAGATAGGAAGCCCATATCTTCTAATAGGCATGAATTGCATGTAGCTTCTCCATCTCTCCTTCAGCGGGGAAGGTGATGAGAGCAGAATTCTGAGTTTGGTGTTCTGTTTGTACCAAAAAAGCCATGTTTAAGTCTGAGGAAAAGCAGCCGTTTATGGAGTCGTATGGTAGAATCAAGAGAAAGCTCCAAGTGTGAATTCAAACTGGTTAAATAACTAATTGAAAGTTATATTATTTTGGAGGAAAAAAAAAAAAAAAAGAAAAAGAAGCAATATCCAGTTTCATCTGTTTGCTCAGGATGCACTGTGCTCCTTCTTGCCTGGATGGTAATGTCTGGGCCCTTTTGGAGTCACCTTAGGGGGACAAGAGTGGTGGGTAAGTCCAGAAGCGACAGGAGCCTGGGAGCAGCTGTATTGTTGGGTGGTGTACAGAGTGATGGTCCCCAGAGGTAGGAGAGTCTCACAGAAGGAAGTGACCTCTGACCAGGGCCTTTGAAGGGATAAGGAAGAGTTGTCATAAGGAGAGGGACCTTCCACACTGGAGGATGAGGAGGCTAGATTTGCACATGGAATTGTGAATTCATAGATGTGCCCAGAGCTGAAAACCTAGATAGGTGATAGGTGGTGAGAATGACCAGGCTCAGAGGGCTTTACTGTGTGGTTGTTTGCTATGTGTTTGGCTTTGTATATAATTTATGGTCTTTACAATCTGTTATTTTCTTCTAATTGAAAAAAAAAAAATCTTCTAGCACCTCTATGCTGTAGGTATCCACAATGAGAAGAAGACTAAATCAGCTAAGGGGTCAAGCCTGGGAGATAACCATGTAAAGGTCATGGGCTTGACCTGGAACTGGAAACTCAAGTGCTCATGTTTCTTCGGTCCCTAGAGGACTGAAACACAGTGGAGCTGGGTTCTGAGACTTCCCTGCAAGTCTTCACCAGCAGGAGGGTCTAGGTCAGCCCAGAGGGACTGTGGAAAAGACCCAGATTAGAGCCTAGATCCCAGGACTTGTTAAAGCACATTCAGGGCAGAGAGAGGGCAGGTGTTTTCAACACTGAGCTCCCTTTTGAGGTCACAGCATTGGTCAAAGCTGAATAACTGATTGCTTATAAGTAGGAGCTGTTGAGGCGGTGCAGTGTTGTTTCCCTGAGAGGGCAGGTGTTTTCAATACTGAGCTCCCTTTTGAGGTCACAGCATTGGTCAAAGCTGAATAACTGATTGCTTATAAGTAGGAGCTGTTGAGGGGCTGCAGTGTTGTTTCCCTGAGAGGGCCCACTGGGTGAGAGCTAGCAGTCTCTGTGTTGGTGCACAAGACAACAGTGGAGGCCCACACAGCATGCACTGAAGTAAGCTGAACAGATGCGTGTGCAGTCTTCAGTGTGTACGGCGCTACCAACAGTCCGAGTTGGCTTCTTCAATTGAGGTTCCGGAGAACGCGAGCCATCCAAAGCGCCCGGAGGCCCTGAGGCTTTGAGTACAAAGTTGCTGGATGAACTGGTTAGAAAACCTTTTTTTCCTTCCCCTTTTACCACTTTCCAAAGATTGGGTGGTGGTGGTGGTTGGTTGGTTATGTGCCGTGGAGTCGGTTCAGACTCATAGTGACCCTGTACTGGGTTTCCGAGGCTGTCAATCTTTACGGGAGCAGAAAGGCTCATCTTTCTCCCGCAGAACAGCTGGTAGTTTCAAACTGCAGATTTTGCGGTTTGCAGCTCGATTCATAACCATTATGCTACCAGAGCTCCTTCCAAAGAGTAGGAGTTACTTGTAAATGAGTTTTAAGAATGAATTTGAATGGATCACCCTTAGCATTTTGCTGGAACTCGAATCATTTCTTTAATTTTATTTCAGTGGTTTATGCTTTGGCCTACTTCAGTAACTCATTTTAATGCCAAATATAAGAAAACGCTGTTTTCTTTAGGGGGGGGAATCTTTATTCATGTCAGATTTTCCAGTATGTGCCAAAATAATTGCTGTCATGATATTTTATGTGTCTGTTCTGAAACAGACAATTGAAGAGCAATTTCAGTGGCAAGTGTTAACAATAAAAATGGGATTAGCAGTACACTAGGCTGCCAATTATATTGTATTTGCAATTCTGGAGGATAGCGGTTGAAGCAGGCTTTAGTGTATTTTTCAAGGCAACTGTATCTTCAAAACAGTCTCTTTAGAGGTCCTTAGAGACTGGAGAGTTTA